AGTTTTTTTCACATATTCTCAAAACTGATCGTTCTATAAAAGCGAAATTTCACATCCACTATTAAAAAATACTAAACTGAGATTTATAAAGATTTCTTTTTTTTTTTTGTGAAATAAATTTAATCGAATTGTCTTTTACATCTGAAGTTATTCATTAATAGTTTAAACGTTGTTAATGAGAAGAAATCGAGCCAATTCTTTGTGTTACTTTCAGGAATATTATTTTTTTTATGGGCTATTTGAATCGAAAACAAAATTAAATAAATGAGTGACTTATTTATATTTATTCGAATATCATTATTTGAAGATTAAAAAACGAAAATAATCTATTTTTAACGCTTCAAATATCAAATTAGTGAATCGTATTTTCGGATTATTAAATCCTGTTTCCGTTTACCTTCCAAATATGGCTGCTAGCTGACCTAATTAATCTATTTTCATTGCCGCGGATTTCTTCCCTTATCATGCACTTAAAATTTTTGATGAAATTTGTTTAACCTTCAAACCTGCCACAATCGATCATTTCGATCCCATTTTTCAACTCCTCAAGTTTATAGAATTTGTTAAGTTTCATTTTTTCACTTTTGTTTATTTTCCATTTTTTCTGCTTTCAATTTTTTCTTCCTTTGAGTGAAATTCCTTTTGCGGTATTGTAAGACCTATCGCAAATTTCAACGACTAATTTTTTTCAATTCTATGGCTGATTTATTGAACAAAGTAACCGCTGAACGATGATTTTCGCTTCCACTTTTTATCAATCTTTTGTTAGGTCACACAATGATGACATTGTCAGCAGAGTTCCTATTCAAAATATCTGATAATTAAGTATGAAATGACATAGTTTTCACTTGAAATAGTATTTTATCGCTTCTAATGCATATCATATCCTTCAGTTTTTCGTAAACTTTTCAATATTTTAATTTTATAGAGAAAAATGGGTTGAGTGTTTTCGTTATAGAGATGAAATAAACAAATAAATAATAAAATAAAAGGGAAATATTGACAAAATGATACATGCAACTTTCAAAAATTCATAGCAATAAATGAGTTCTCTTTCAGTTAACAATAAATTATGACGAAGAATTCAGTTTTTCCTTTAGCAATAATCCTACTACAACTGCTTCTTGGGTTTCCTAATACTATAGCAGAATGCGACCTAAAAGTGAGTTTCTTTTTTCAGTCTTCGCGATTGAAATGAAATGTGAACTTCCTGATGATATTTTCCATTCACATTTATATATTGCTTTTTATAGTTTTTGATGTGTCTGAAATATTTCGGAAATGTTTCAAACCAGTCAAATGGGAAAATTACATTAACAGGTCTTTCGTTATGACTGACCTTTTTGTGAATGATTTCTTTCTTTTCCTTCTACTTTTCTACAAATGTTTTTCATTTGACACACTTTTCAGGCTTCCAATATGACAGCGATGAATTTCACACTAAAAACGTCACCAATTTTACCTTCTGTTCAAACAATTTCAAATTTCTCAGATCCATTCGCATTACAGTTTCCTGAGTTAAATTCAAGCTCGAATGTTGAACTCTTACAAAATTTATCGCAGACAAACATTACTTTGTCATGATATCAACTTAAACAATTCCACATTCAAATGAATTGATATTTTAATTAGAGTTGGGATATCAACATATAACTTGCTGATTGTTGCATTGCAATAGGAAATCCCGGGCGGAAGTGGATAATCATGAAGTAATGATAATAATACGCAT